TTTGGCTCTGAACGTTTTTTCAAGTTACAAGTTTTCAAGTTCCAATGGATGAATTTCATTAAAAAAATTATTTATTTCCTTTCAACACTCATTCATCTGAGAATTAATCTGAGCTTCACTCAGAAAAAAAATTTCTCGATTTTCTATTGCGCCCTAATTTTTTTTTACTTTAATCTAAAAGGCGCATAAATTACGAGAGGAAATTCAAGATCAAGGAAGCAGCATCAACCTTCATATGAGGCGATGATAATGGTTAATGCAAAATTATCGATTATAAACGAAAAGTTCTTGAAGATTCATTCACCTCAAGGTCACCTCATATAAAGTATTTTATTTACCAAGGTAAGAAGATTAAAAAATTTCCTCAGATTACCGGAAATTTTATCAAATTTCTCGCAAAGTCTTTCTCAAATCATTAAAAATACTTAGAAAAATTTCTTTCGTGCAATATAAGAATGAATATTTGCGATAAATTTGATTTAAACTTCATTTCGCTTTATAATCTGCTTACAAAGTCATTTATTTTCCTCGTTTTTTTTGCAAACGATTCATGGTATAAAATAATAAAATATAAAGGAATAATAAAATATACTTCTAAACTATACTAAAACATACTTCAAGCGGATATGCGGAAAAAATCTCATTTTAATAGTCAATAGAGCCAGGCAAACCAGAAATGGTTAGTGTCGTAAAAATTTATAAAAATGTACGAAATATGAGCAAATTTTGACTGATCAGTAATCATGGAAAATGTTGTCGATTGAAGAGTTTGTTAAACAAGCATGTATGAATTCATCCAATCAATCAATGCTGCTTTTATCAAAAGCTGTCCATTTTTTTATAATTTCTAATCAGATTATTTGATTAAAATTAGTTTAACATTTATTTCATAAAAATACTTAAAGATTAGCTTTAAAAAGCGTTTAAAGGCTGATCAATCAATATTAATTGTGCTAAGAGCACAAAACGTATGAATTTGTTGAAAAATGCCGACATTGAAAAGCAATCCTTTGAATACTAATAGAAAAAAGAGATGAAAGATAATGCCGCAAGCAGGATGATAACTTGTTGCTGATAACATAGCATAAGACGATGAGAACAATTTGTTGCGGATTACCTTTTTGAAGGAAATGATAGACATTACGGCTCCTTGTTGTTATTCAGCATTTTGCTGATCATTTAGTACTATGCATATTTTTTTTGTTATTTCATTGAAAAGCCATTGAAAAATAATAATTACGAAACAATTAAATGTTTTATTTGAGCTGATATTCTTTTAAAATATTTTAAGACGTTTTTTTAAACATAATCTTTTAACATTTTCAATGCACAACTTTTTTTGCATATATATTTGTAATGATTTCGCAATGAATTCGCAATTTTAATTATAAAAAATATTTAAATAATTAAAAATTCTCCATGGAATGAGAAAACTTTTACTATTATCATTATTTCTTTTAACTCATCAGTCAGCAAAAGAGTTACTAAATAAATATTTGCAGTTGAATAAAGCAAAGATTGCAGGAAAGTATTTTTTACTAGTGATGCTAACTTTAGCGATCCAAGAAGGCCATCATTTTGCAACAAAAACAGTGAAAATATTCAAAAAATAAGATGGCCCTTTATATGAACTGATGCAAATGAGTTTTTCCAGGAATTCTCGGAGAAACCTCCGTATCTTTTCGAGGATAAATTTTTCTATAAATATACATATACTTTTGAACTATAAGATTTAATGCATAAATATATATATATATTTGAAATTTCCCTGGTTCCATTGATCGCAGAAAATTCATATCCCGACTCACCACGTCTTGATAGCTTACATGAAAAAATGATCGAAGATTTAACACGAATATGGAATTTTCTATATTTCATCGTTTGCATATTCATTCACTTTTGTGTATTCATTTATTCCGAAAAAATCGTCAGCAGTTTCCGGCGTATTTCAGAAATGGCAAATAGGCAGAAATCTCACCAATCAATCATCATTTATTTAAAAACTCATGAGAAATCGTCCATTCAACTTTATTCAGTAAAAATAGCGACTCAGGTTAAGATGTAGTCAAAAGAATTATCAACTTATTTAAAACAGAGAAAGATTGATTAATTATAGAAATCACAAAAAATAGCCAAATGCTTAAAAAGTGATCTGAATTTTTCAATTAATCCACTAGGTAATGTATTTATTTAAATCGTCCATCATGAAGGTCAATGATATTTGCATAATCGCCCTAATTTTTTTTGTTATTATAAAAATATTTTATTATATTCTGAAGCACGAAAAAAAATCAAATGACTTGTCTTAGCAAAAAAATTTAAATCATTTCTTGATTCTCAGAGTTTTTTACCCGCATAATTTAAATTTAATAAAACAGGACGTAGCATGAGTCGATCGAATCACTTTGGTTTTTCATTGAATTTCCTCAAAAGAGGATTTACTCAAAAGCAACGGAAATGCTTCCCTCCAAAAGTACAGCAAATATTGCTTATCATTCATTAAATAATTTATTAATTTAAACATGGAATTCCATTTCATGAAGCTACAAATCATTTTACTTCAAAGAATTAAAAATAAGAGTCATGGATCGAAAAAACTGCCGATGATTTATGATTGTTCTAGGTCTGCAAAGAAAAAATTGCATTGATGATATGATATGACTTTAAAATAAATTTTTTTTTTCAAATTTATGATTGCATTTAAGCAAAAAAATATTGACTTCCGCAATCCGGAACTAAATTCAATTAATCTCACCAGTCGACGAATATTCATCCAAATGTTCTTTTTAGAAGTTTTCGGATAATGAGTTATTTTTTTAAAAAAATCGGGTTAGGGGATTAAAATGAAAAAATTGCAAATAGCATGGAAGAATCTGCAAAAATAAGTTTAATTATATATACCACATTTATCATTGATTTAACAATTATTGCTAAGCGGAGTTTAGAAAAGAAGTAGTTTACGAATTATTTAATGGAAGTTTACTCTTAAAATAGGGAGAATCAAAGTTTTTCAGACATTATCAGTTGGAATAGAAAAATCAGATATATGCTGAGCGAGAAAAATACCTAGAAAAATTTCCAAAAAAAATTATCATTATGACTGAATGATTAAAAAAATACACGGAAATATTCACATATACTTTTGCCAGCAGTGATTTGCAAGAGCAACTTATTTTTCAAAAATATTTCAAATATAATCCAAGAATAATAGTAATATATATACCTGGTAAAATAATTTAGCGCATTTTTGGTTAGGGTTAGCTCCGCTGCCTGTTAATGCGATTGGAATTTTTTAACATGGAAGTACAGGATTTTATCAGCAGCACCTGGACTTCTTAATGGCAGATTTGTTGTGAGTGGAAATCGAACCCTAGCCTCTCATCAAGATAATCTGATTTCCTGTTAATTTTGTTCTTATATTTCGTAAAAACGGAGAATTACAACGTATCTGGTTTTTCAAAATTTTCTACAAAAAATTTTAGTAAAATTTAATAATAAAAAATTTAATAAAATTGTTTGAAGAAAAAATTCTAAAAATCAGAAAAATAATTTCCAAGAATAAAACAAGGGATGAGAAGAAAAAAAACTGGTAAAAATTTAATAAAAAAGGGCGAGAAACACGAATAAACAAATTTAGAAAATTATTTGAGAAAGTTCTAAAGAAATTTTGGAGTACTAATAGCAAGCAAATAATGCGCACCACATGCATACATTCGTTCACACTCACAATTGATCGATGAAGTGAATACAAAGCTACGGTAAACCCTAAGGCATCTATTAAATTACGGTTGTCTTCGCTTTTTACACCAAAATGCCTAATTAATTCTTCATTTCAGCCAAGAAGAATTCAGCGAATTAACTATGTGCTTTGAGTCTGGTTTATATAATTTATTACGATTAAAAACTGTTTTGAAACCATCACCACCATCATGATCACCATCATTATCATCAACATCACTATCATGTGTTGTAAAACAAAAAATAGAATCAACGTTTGAGGCAAATAAACAATATTGGTGGTGCAAAAGAAAAACTCAAGTAATATTTATATATTAATCATCATGAAGATTATAAATATGTTCAATACAAATTTTTAAAATTTTTTGCCACAAAATAAATTTTAGTAACTGGCTAATAAGGCATAAGCAGCGACAATAAGACAAATAAAATCCCCGCTCATCTACTGCAATCTAAATAATAGAATGACCATTAGACAATTTAATTTGATTTAAACAGAAAAAAATTGGTACTTTAAAACAATGGTTATAGATGTAGAACCGATTATTAGAATATTCTACAATAAAATGATTTTCAAGTATGCCAAGGTGAAAAGAGACTTAGATTTTTTGGAAGCTTGGAACGGGGGGAACTTCGCTTTTTTTATTTCTTCTTATTTTTATATGTTAATTATGAGAAATCTTTTTCAACGAATCTGCAGAAATATTTATAATAAATAAATCACTTGAATAACAAGGAAGCACCTATATTTAATTTTATAAAGTGCCTCAACGCTTCAAGGTTCACTTAAATGCGAGAATCAGATAATGTTAAACGATAAAAATATTAAGAATTGTAAACCCGTCTTTAGCTTGGCCACAAGCGAGCATATTTCTAGGCTCCAAAAAGTTATCGACCAAGCATTGCCGAATACATTCTGCAATCTTTTAACTCTAGCTTTTACCATAAAATCGTCACCTGAAACATATAATTTCCTGCATTTTGGTAGATTATTCACTATGAAATAATGACCCGATGCAAGATTCATCAAATAATGGAAATATTATGCACACATAGACTGAAATCTTTGCCATGACTCGTTTTTCTATGTATTCGAAACGAATAAATCAGAAAAAATAAAATTGGAAAAAAACTTTAATATACTCATTTTTATTTTTAATAATTGGAATAACTCAAAAGCTAACTGATCAAAAAATATGCAAGACTGATATAAAGATTTTTCAAAAATGATTAAAATGATCCAAATGTATAATATAAAAAACTCACATTGTTGGCATATGCTGTAAAGGTATGTTCATGTGCGAATCCACACCATTCAATGACGGATATTGTAATCGAGGGTCTTGATTTTGTGGTAAATACATATTCATTGGTTCCTTTGGTGGTTCGTAAAAGGCACGAAATTGAGTAAGAGACGGCGCATCACTTATAGAAGGTGTATCTGGAGAACCAGTTGAAGCTGGATTTTCTACTTCAGGTTTAATAGGTAGAATCACACTGCTACTGCCATAATGTTGTTGCTGTTGTTGTTGGTGTTGTTGCTGTTGTTGCTGTACCTGTTGGTACTGAGCAGCAGCTACAGCTAATGATGCCGGTGATTGAGCATATTGGCTGGGGGATGCAGTGGCTCCTAAAGAATACTGCATTCCAATCATGTTTTCATAACCAGGCCGTGCATACAAATTATATGAGTCGAAATACGGTGGCGCAGCTACAGATGTAATAGGCTGTTGCCAAGTAGGCACTGGATTATAAATACTCTGTTTTATTGGATCTAAAAATGCTGTAGGCATTGTCAAACCATTCTTTTTCGGCATATTTTTTGTTTTTCGCCTTGGACGATACTTATAATCGGGATGTTCCTTCATATGAATCGCCCTCAATCGTTTTGCTTCATCAATAAAAGGCCGTTTGTCAGCTTCATTCAACTGTTTCCATTCAAGTCCAAGTCGCTTTGAAATCTCTGAATTATGCATTTTCGGATTCTCTTGTGCCATTTTTCGTCGTTGACCTCTTGACCAAACCATAAATGCATTCATTGGTCTTTTAACTCGATCGTCAGCTTTTTTTTCTCTAGAACTCGGCGATCCTGGTGAATCAGGGTCAATTTCTTCTGGTGGTACTGATGAAGTCGATGTTGGTTGCATTGAGAAACCTGTTTGCATGTACAAAGAATACGTTTCAAGCGATGGTGATGATTTCATTTCATTTTCCATCATCATCATAGTAAATTAAAATAACTATGTAAAAAATCGTAATTAGAATAAGATTTCCAGATAACAAAAAATACTAACGATTACAATAATATAATAATAATAAGCGAATAGAATAGAGGATTGAGATGCTTTAAATATGAACGAACTATTGTTATAAGAGGGTGAAAATCAATGTCGTGAATTGCAAACTATATATTGATGTCCTACCGCTCAACGATTACGATGAATAAGAAGGAAGGATAGGTACCGAGGGGAAGGTGTATGGGGTGTGTATCAATGTGTATGTCGTATGTGTATGCGTGTATATAAGGGGAGGGGCAAAAAAGGGAATACGTTCAAAAATTTTTGCGATCTTTTTCACACGCGAAATAGAAAGAATATGCAAGTACTGCAGAGAAATATGAGCGTTTAGACAAAATTTTCGTTTGAGAGGGACCCGCAGAAATGAAAGGAACTGATGCTATAACTATAACACTCCCCTCTCTCTTAACTCTCAAATAGAACACAATAGACCGTCAGATCGGCTGAGCGAAGCAATAAAATGCACTACTAATATAGGTGGAGTCAAACGTCTTCAAAACTTCACTCTGATTGGTGAACATTTTTTTCACCCCGCCCTTGTTAGTTGAAAATTTGAAAACATCGATTCTTTCGGATGCGCAAATTCGAGATTTTTAGCGGAAAAAAAAGCCCAAGAAATTCGATTTATTATAGTTTGTGCCCTTTTCACTGGCAATTTCGAGCATTAACCCCTTTCAGATCGTTTTTTTAATCTTCTTTCTAAGTAAAGTAGGCGTTCTGATGTCAATTTCTCTTGAAACGATTACGGTAGTCGCAAATTTCAGCAATATTTCGAGAAAATGGTAATTGTAGGAATTTTAGTGATACGACCATTACAAACATTAGTGATACCAAATTTCGACCTGAAACTATACAAGCTCTTAGCTCTTTCGTTTTCATAATTTTTGGTTTTACGAAATTTAAAATTCAAAAATTAATTTTGATGCTATCTGGTTAAAACGTAAATATTGAGTAAATATTAAACTTGATGCCTCGCTTAATTTATTTCTAAACCAAATGTTTAAGGAAAAAAACATCAAAACAAAATGGAACCAAAAAGAAAATGGAAGTCGATAATCGACTCAAAAAATACACAGAAAAAAGTAAAGCAAATAAATAGAATTGAATAAAATGGTGCAAAATGTATTTAAAGCAAGAAAACTAGTCAAAAGGGAAATACTTCAATAATTGATAAAAAAGAGGGAATTGAAATGTAATAAAAATGGAAAAATAACTAAAAGAATTAAAGACTTGCGCTAAATAATTTCGCAAGCTGTCTCAGTTCTAAAAAAATATTTTCTGATTGATGTAGATAGTTGACTGCAGATAATTCAGTTTTTCCAGTTTTTGGAGGAATGGATCATTGTCTCCATTTCCTGTTCGAAAATTGATCAAGGAAACTAGATTATATACTGAAGACTTGGAAAATTTATTTAAAACAAAGAAAACATTAAGTAGTTTAAAGCCATAATAGCTGAAAAACAAATTGAACTTTTAAAGGTTAAAATCAAAGTGATATTTGAAATTTTTAATCTGCCCAAAAGATAATGATAAAAAAATCTGGATAAGAATATCTCATCTTCATCACCCTTATTTCTCAACAAAAATCAAGGATTTTCCTTATAAAAAAGTAATGATTAGCTTCATAGATTTACTTCTTTTTAATCATTTTTTTCAGATGAATCGTATCGCTAATTACTTTATAACATGTATCGGACTTAATGACGTGGTATAACATCTTTTTTTATACCGAAAAATAGAGTATAAAATGGAAAAGTTTGCATCAAAATTAATTTCATGACGAAAAAAAAAAGAAATAAATCTACGAAGCTAATTGAATTAAAATTGACTTACTTGGCTGCCTGGCTGGTACAGCCAAGCCTTCTACTTTTTTCTCATCATATTAATCAGCCACTCAACCAGAAATGCTTAGCACTATCTACCTTTCTTATTTAATTGCTATCTTCCAACTTACTACAATAAAAATTTTTAGAAATCTGCTTTTTAAAATTTAAGACTGAGAATATTAAATTAATCGCTTCCTTGTCATTGAAAAATTTGCCAAAAAAATTCAGATTTGGAATACGAAAGATTTCTGTAGTTCTGATAACGGTGAAAAAAACAATTAACTTAAAAATTTAAAAAATTTAAATTTAAAATTTTTATCTAACTTGAAAATATCAAAACTTCACCAAGTGTTTACGAAATAGGAAACATTGTGATAGATTTATAGAAAATGTCATCGCTTAGTATTTACGAAGTCACCACCATTTTATAAAATCACGTATTTGCTTATCAAAATAATTTTTGATGGCTGGTATAGTAACAAAAGCAATATTTATATCAAAATTCAAAATGTTAATATCAAAATTAAAATTAAAACTAAAATTAAAATATTAATAAAATATTAATTAATATATTAATATCAAAATTTGTTGTGTTTAAATAGCTAGGAAATGAAGTTTGCTAAAGAATCAAATGATGTTTTCTACTTAGTTATAGCTCATTAATTGGTATGGTTTATAATATTAGCTCAAAATCTTCTTTATTCAAATTCAAAATCATTCTTAATGCAAGATATAAATTTTATAAAAACAGCACATATTTTCAAAATAGAAGCTGTTAAACGCAATCCTTTAACCATCCAATTGTTGGAAATCACATTTTATCATACAGTCAAGTAAAATCTTCAAGTAATTCTTCAAAAATACCTATTTCGATGGCTTATTTTGAAATTATTGAAATAAAAATATCAAAAATATCAATTATATTAAATATATATTAAGAATTAAATAAACATGAAAACGATTATAAATACTAATTATGTTGAATAACAGCCATTTAATAAGAAGATTTTATGACAAATTTTACTCTTGCTAAAAGTAAAGCTGCGATTAAAACCATGTGATGCTGAGGATCCTCCTGCTTTTCTGTCTGCAAATGACTTCGTGGCAAAATTTTTTGTTTTCTCATTTCTCACCAAGGGCTATTTGAGCAAGCCCAGATATCGTTAACTGCTTTTTTACTTAAATGATTCAATTTCCAAACTTCAAGCTTAAAGGCTCAAGAAATTTATGAAATTTAATTGCGTTACTTCATTTAAAATCTTTTAATCATTAAGCAAGAAATGTCAAGAGCGAAGATACATCTTTATTTTATTTTTCTCACTTAACATGAATTAAGCAATAAACATATGAAATAATGTAATTTAGCGGTAAATTTGTTATGATGTTAACTACTTATATAAGCGCGCCATCGAATAAGTAACGTAGAAATATGAATCTCATTAGAGCAGCAGCAGTTATCACTTATGTCGCATTTTGCTCTCCGCCAGCAACAAGTTGCGATTTTTAAGGCTTATCAGAATTATATTTTTTCACTGACTAATTATGCATTTCATAATTATCCAATAATTAATATCCGCAGAAATTAATTATAAAAGATAGAATATTAAAAATTTTATCGATTTTATAAAACATTTCAATCATCTCATATGACAGAAGTTTAGTGGATAAATAGCTTATGTAAACAGCCGTCCATTTTTTTTCTACTTTGCTTACAACTATCGAATCGATCACATGCATAAGATAAGCACTCAGCACTTTTATATAATTCAATGTTATATGAGGAAAAAATAAGGAGAAAGGGGAAATAAAACTTTGAATGGTGAAATGCTTAGAGTTCAAATGATCCCATCTTATATGTGAGCAATCGCATAGTTTTAAAATATTTCACACTAAAAGCAATGATAGGAATGAAATCATAAATATTCCCCAAGTCTCGTGTAAATAAACAAAAAAACAATTCGAACTATTACGAAAAAGCTATTTGCAACGTCAATATCATTTGAAAGTTAATATCACTAATAAATTTAATGATATTAATTTTATTTGGCTTTAAATGGCGAGCTTTCTACCATATGTATATGCCTATTGATAATGTCTCAGCATGCCATTAAATAAGTGGAATAAGTGCGCATAAGTGGAATTCATAACAATGTTTGAAGTTTTTGTTTGAAGTTCAAAAACTTCACACTAAACCATGGTTCAAACGAAAATCAAAAAACTGTAATGATTACTCTAGAAAGAAATGTGAAAAATAGTACCAAACACCAACCTTTGTTAGGATTAAAAACATTTGGCTTAACTTGAGCACTGGAAATAGAATTTATGCACGTTACCTCCATTTCTCTTTCTTGACAAGAAAAGTTGAAATAATCGAAGTCTAAATAAATTTTTAGCAAATAAAATCTAAATAAATAATATGAACGAAAAAAAGCCAAATATTCGTTTTAATAAAAGAAGGAATCAAATGAGGAAAAAAATGAGCCATCAAAATGAATGAAAAATAATTTAATAAGAATAGATTTTTCTTCTACCACATAATTCTTTAAAAATATGAAATAAAATAAAATAATAACAAAAAAAGTTGATTTTATGTCAGTAATTAATTATATTCTTTTAAGTGGTATGCTCCTAATGGTATCTCATGGGTGAATAATGGCTGAGATCTTGTTGACGTAAATATTAGGCTTTTGCCCAGAAGTAAACCTGTTAAACAAATTTAACAAATATCACCTCTATGTCTATTGAACAAGTGACACCCTTGTAAGAAAATCCCAATCTCAGTAGCAATTAGTGGAACCAGGAGCGGTAAAAGCTAAGGTCAAAGAATTCCACTTCGACTGGAATTGGAACATCAGGGGTTTGGTTTTTTTGATAAGACAAGATTCTTGCTAATTCTTGCTACTAAAAGAGCCGCAGTGCTACTGAATTTCTTGCTAGTTCTTCATTTAGCATCAAAAGTAGCATCTATAATTAATAAGTAATAAAATATATACTTAAAATATATACTTATGAATAATTCTTATGGTTTAATTCTCTAATAAAAGAATTTTTTTGGGAAAAATATAGTATATATTAAAATAAATTATTAATATTTTCAGTTTC